AGGACAGCTTCATGATGGTCTTTACGAATTACAAACTTACCTCAGCATTTCAGATGCTGTAAAACACCAGCTTTCACTCCTCTATCACACACACACAATCTTGTCAGATGTGGTAGTTTCACAGGTGATTTATGATTGAAAGAAAACAATTACAGTGAGTGGCTATCATTCTTATAAAAGTGATCATTGCACAACGACATCCACTCAGATACTACAAAACAAGCCAGATACTATGCTAAATATGGGACACGCTTTCATGCCTTCTACACACATAGAACACACACACACACACACACACACACACACACACACACACACACACACACACACACACACACACACACACACACACACACTTTATCAATATATAATTATATAAACATAAGATACACTGATCAAAACAATATAATCAATAATCTTATTCTCTCTATATATACACACACGAATAGCATATAAATTAATTATTATTAATTATTATATATATATATATATATATATGAATTAACAGCATCTAAAACTTTGGTGCATAGTTGTTTTGAGAGCCCAGTAGAAATACAGCACAACTAGGAAATAAAACACTACAAATGTGTTTCAGAATTTGTGAAGCCATTCTGCTCACAGCGTGGCACAACGCCAGCATGCTGCAGAGGAGACACACACACACACACTCTCTCTCGCACTCACACACACACACACACACACACAGGACAGCTTCATGTTGGTCTTTATGAATTACAAACTTACCTCAGCATTTCAGATGCTGTAAAACATCAGCCCTCACACCTCTATCACACACACCAACTTATGTCAGATGTGGTAGTTTCACAGGTGATTTATGATTGAAAGAAAACAATTACAGTGAGTGGCTATCATTCTTATAAAAGTGATCATTGCACAACGACATCCACTCAGATACTACAAAACAAGCCAGATACTATGCTAAATATGGGACACGCTTTCATGCCTTCTACACACATAGAACACACACACACACACACACACACACACACACACACACACACACACACACACACACACACACACACACACACACACACCATCACACCATGGCTAACAGAACACAATTCATCTTCTGCTTGGGCAAATTTGACCACTACGAATGAAGAATGGAGCTCACAACCAAAGACAGAGCAAGGTTGGGTCATGCATTTCATTTTTGGGTGAACTATCCCTTTAAAGCACATAATTCAATCTGAAAGCACAGATAGACCAGCAGAAAAATCATTACAATTACAATTGGTATATTACAGCTTATTCAAAATGCAGAACATTTGGCCTTAAAGTCAAAAGCCGTGGAGTAAAGCGAGTCGCCGACTTGAATCCTGTTTGTTATCAATTTTAAGGCCACATATAAAGTGAAGGACAGTCCAGCTCAACATAAATGTCAGCACTTGGGTGGTTAGATTAACGGTCTTTCTCCTTTCATTAGCTCACACTGCAGTGCTGAACTCTTGTGGCCAAGCTAGAAAACAGCAGTACAAACTCCTCAGATTACAGCGGTGTCATTTTCTTCTTTACCAGGTTAATGTGCAGAGATAACATTCATAAGTTGATTTCCCCAAAAAATATAAATGCCGTGGCTGTATTGTTTTCAACATCGCTGTGTGTGTTTGAGCCACCTGATATAGCAACATTACTTCATTTTCATTATTATAAATGTTCCTAGTCACCCCTGAAAGTATATATTTGACCTATAAGACACTGTAGAAATACAGTTTAGAGTAACTATACATATACTGTATACTATATACAGTATTTCTTTTTTAATCTGTATTTTAAGATTAATAAACCATGATTGCAAATTGCTACAATATGGCTAAATAAATAAAAAAAATGTTTGATTGTTCAATAAAAGATGATCAGTCCTGGCTTCTCAAAATTCTGTAAACAGGAAAAATCTGAAAACAGGAAACATAAGGGCAACAGTTATACAAAATCGTCCATTTTAGTTTTGTCCACAAAAATAATCATGAAACAATAAGCAGTAAAGACTGCATTTCCATATCTGTAAGCAATAAAATATGAGAGGCTATGCTTTTTTGTAAATATACACAACTAAAGGATGCAACGGTTACTGCATAATAAAAATATTACATTTTTTAATCAAAAATGTTATAACATTAAGCAAAAATAAGTGTTAGAATGTGTTATTGCTATAGTCTCTGACATATACTGTATCTGTGTGTTTTGGAGTGTGTGCGCGTGGAAGATAAAACGTTTTTTGGAAAGTTTCAGGATTTTGAAAAATTGTAAAAGAAAGGACTGTTGAAATTGTGTAAAATAAAAAATAAATACTTAAAGGGATAGCTCCCTAAAAATAAACATAAAAGAAGATATTGAGAAATGTTCCCCCCCTGCCCCCCCATGGTTACCTAAACTGTTCGGCTGCCAACATTCTTCAAAATATCTTACTCTTATGTTCCACAGAAGAAAGAAATTCATACACACACACACACAGGACAGCTTCATGTTGGTCTTTATGAATTACAAACTTACCTCAGCATTTCAGATGCTGTAAAACATCAGCCCTCACACCTCTCTCACACACACCAACTTATGTCAGATGTGGTAGTTTCACAGGTGATTTATGATTGAAAGAAAACAATTACAGTGAGTGGCTATCATTCTTATAAAAGTGATCATTGCACAACGACATCCACTCAGATACTACAAAACAAGCCAGATACTATGCTAAATATGGGACACGCTTTCATGCCTTCTACACACATAGAACACACACACACACACACACACACACACACACACAACACACACACACACACACACACACACACACACACCATCTGTCCAGGGCTAACAGAACACAATTCATCTTCTGCTTGGGCAAATTTGACCACTACGAATGAAGAATGGAGCTCACAACCAAAGACAGAGCAAGGTTGGGTCATGCATTTCATTTTTGGGTGAACTATCCCTTTAAAGCACATAATTCAATCTGAAAGCACAGATAGACCAGCAGAAAAATCATTACAATTACAATTGGTATATTACAGCTTATTCAAAATGCAGAACATTTGGCCTTAAAGTCAAAAGCCGTGGAGTAAAGCGAGTCGCCGACTTGAATCCTGTTTGTTATCAATTTTAAGGCCACATATAAAGTGAAGGACAGTCCAGCTCAACATAAATGTCAGCACTTGGGTGGTTAGATTAACGGTCTTTCTCCTTTCATTAGCTCACACTGCAGTGCTGAACTCTTGTGGCCAAGCTAGAAAACAGCAGTACAAACTCCTCAGATTACAGCGGTGTCATTTTCTTCTTTACCAGGTTAATGTGCAGAGATAACATTCATAAGTTGATTTCCCCAAAAAATATAAATGCCGTGGCTGTATTGTTTTCAACATCGCTGTGTGTGTTTGAGCCACCTGATATAGCAACATTACTTCATTTTCATTATTATAAATGTTCCTAGTCACCCCTGAAAGTATATATTTGACCTATAAGACACTGTAGAAATACAGTTTAGAGTAACTATACATATACTGTATACTATATACAGTATTTCTTTTTTAATCTGTATTTTAAGATTAATAAACCATGATTGCAAATTGCTACAATATGGCTAAATAAATAAAAAAAATGTTTGATTGTTCAATAAAAGATGATCAGTCCTGGCTTCTCAAAATTCTGTAAACAGGAAAAATCTGAAAACAGGAAACATAAGGGCAACAGTTATACAAAATCGTCCATTTTAGTTTTGTCCACAAAAATAATCATGAAACAATAAGCAGTAAAGACTGCATTTCCATATCTGTAAGCAATAAAATATGAGAGGCTATGCTTTTTTGTAAATATACACAACTAAAGGATGCAACGGTTACTGCATAATAAAAATATTACATTTTTTAATCAAAAATGTTATAACATTAAGCAAAAATAAGTGTTAGAATGTGTTATTGCTATAGTCTCTGACATATACTGTATCTGTGTGTTTTGGAGTGTGTGCGCGTGGAAGATAAAACGTTTTTTGGAAAGTTTCAGGATTTTGAAAAATTGTAAAAGAAAGGACTGTTGAAATTGTGTAAAATAAAAAATAAATACTTAAAGGGATAGCTCCCTAAAAATAAACATAAAAGAAGATATTGAGAAATGTTCCCCCCCTGCCCCCCCATGGTTACCTAAACTGTTCGGCTGCCAACATTCTTCAAAATATCTTACTCTTATGTTCCACAGAAGAAAGAAATTCATACAGACTTGGAATTACATGAGAGTGAGTAAATGATGATAGAAAATTCCATGTTAAAATAAATTCAATGTAAAAAAAGAAAGAAATGTAATTGTTCAATTAAGGACTTTTATTAAGGCATTTTCATTAGTCTCAAGAGTTTTGGACCCCCACTGTATAAGTAAGCAGCAAGAGTTTATTCTCTTAAACTTTATACAACTATTTGATACAATTATATTTAAGACTTTTTATTCTGTCATTACCCCTTCATTTCTCCTTTCTTGATCTCTGGATCTCAGCGCTCCAGTTGGTCCTGCTGCAGATATCTGGAGCAGTCTGAAACTTTTTTCACCTCACTGACATTTAAAGGCTCAGAGCACATGGGGCAAACCGACTCGGCCTCTAAGAGCCTGAAACAAACACATACAAATACAGAAAATCAATGGATGGGTGGGTGACTAGATAGATGGGCCATGGATGGATGAGACTTACTGAGTGAACTGCGAAATGAGAGCGGGGAAATCACAGTGTGGGCAGACACACCAATCCTCCTTGACCATGTGACGACCCTGAAAATAATGACACACATCTATCAGACAAACTGCGACTGCATATACACACTAAAAGATCAAGTCAAGTTTATTGTCATTCCTCTCCTTACAGACACAGACAAGTAAAGAATGAAATATAGCACCTAGAGAGGAAGTTGAAATAGGGACTGGGTTTCAGGCAGAGGAAGAGGCTGATGAGCGGTACACTGTGGAACTGAAGCAGTAGGCTGCTTGTGTTCGGTCAGTGCAGTGATGCAGTAGATTAAGTTGTCTGTACTCACTGTGGCGATACAGTAGGGCAGATTGTTTTTGCAGCCGGGACAGAGCAGTTCACAGTCAGGCAGGCTGAAGCCGCAGTAGGGACAGGGTGAGCTCTCCTCCTCCACCTCAGAAGTATCTGGACGACTGATGGAAAACAGAAAAGGGTCAATGATTGGGTCACTGCAACACAGAGGTATTTCACACATTTAACTCAAAGCAGTTTAGAAGTTAAAATATTTCTGTACATATACAGTAAAAATAAAACTCACATACCATGGGTAAAGAAAGACAAAACAAAACAAAAAACATTTTACAAAATGCAAAGTACAGGGTATCTGCAGGATTTTTAAGCTCAGATTTAAGATACGATTAGGGCAAAGTTTAGTCACGTATTAAACTGTAAAATGACTGTAAAAAGCATGATTTACAGTTCAGTTTTTCACAAAACAAAGTTTTATAAAATGATCAACTTTACATTTCAGCCTTTAAACCATTTTTAAGAAAATGGATGAGTCAAAAGTATCAATTATGATATGAATTTAAACATTTATTACAATTACAAACAACTGTATTTCAGAACAATTTTGTTTACTAACCATCTGCAATCCAGTTTAAACCAGTGGTTTTCAACAAGAGGGTCAGGGCCCAGAATAGGGCCTCAAATTACTAAAATAATTTTAAATAAGACAAAGCAAGCTTGAAAATAAGCAAAAAAAACAAAAACTAACTAACTAACTAAATAAATAAATAAAATTCTTTGAAGAACCAGGTTCTGGAACTGAAACCGAATTTCGAGACACTGACACAGCTTTTTGGAAAAAGTGCTATGACATGACTTGACCTGACTGGGATATATGAGCTAGTCTAACTTTAAATGTTTTGATTTCTCTAGATGTAAAACTCTTGTAAATTAATACAATCTTAAAATACCATGGGCATTTTTATAAAGAATATAAATTTTTCTAGTTAAGCCAAACTCTAAAATATTTTGAGTAGAAACTGTGAGTCAAAAATATATATTTTTAATCCTTATCCAGTAAATTAGGATTGACAGGAAAAGTCATATAAATTCAATGGTTAAAAACAGTGGGAACCCTAAAGAACATTCGGCTCTTAAAACTTACGGAATTCCATCCATTTTCCAAACTGCTGTACCCTCTGTGAGAACTTATGGAATTCTAAAACATAATTAATTCTAATTATTTAATTAACTCCTGGACACTACTATTTTTATTTACTTAAAAAAAAAAAAAAGGTTAAAAATATGTTTTAGTGGAGAAAGGGGTGATTAAAATTTTCAGTGGCATAAGCTGAATTTTTTGGGGGGGGGGGCCTGGCCAAAAGTGAGCGGGCACAAGTAACTAACGGATGGAGTCGGACTCAATATTCAGGTCATTTCAATCTTCCTTCAGTTTTCTTTCCCTCGTCAGTGCGAGTTTTTAAAAGTCCTTTTCACAGAAGTATGCAACTCATCATGAATTAAGCAAAAACATTTTATTTATTTTAGTAATTTGAGATGTTATAATAGCTTTGTAATTGCTTTAAAATAAATTAAACAATAATTAACAAATATTATATTTGTATAATAAACTGGGGGGCCCGTCAGACCCATCCGCTGCCTACGCCCCTGATTTGAATATTGTTGTGGACAATGGAGGGGCCCTGGAGTCAAAAAGTTCAGGAACTGCTGGTTTAAACAGAAGCTGAATGCACTGAAATAGCATTGCACTTGATGCACCATTTACAGCTTTTACCTTATTTGTATCTTCTTTTTTTAGTGAATCAAGTGCTACAACAAAGCAAAGACAGCGTGTGCAAATAAACAACTCTATTAATGGGCGCAATTTATTCTCAGTATATTTCCCTTGAGTGTCTTACCGGACCATGGCCTCGATCTTCTTCTTGTATTTGAGATCAATCTTGTTACGATATTCTGGTCTCATCAGCATAGAGGCAAAGCTGAAGGCAGAGTTCTTTAGTCCAGCACGATGACATTCAATAACCGCTGATGTGAGGATGGGGACAATGTCTGTAGGCCATACACACACACACACACTGCTTTATGCTACATTAAAGGTGGAATCATGTTAGCTAAAAAAGGCATAATGTTCAGGGAAACCACAAAGAATATGAAAGAGATGTCTCGATACACTGAATAAACTGCTGTTGTGTGGAAACGGCTCATTACTCATCACTGTCGTAAAACTCTTAAAGCATTTCAATGATGTCTGGGTCATTGTATAATTAGCTTACAAGGCACAAGTGATCCAAGAGATCTATTATTGACTGTTAAACCAGTGATACAGACGCAGAGGCTGCCATCTCCTCTCTATAGAAGAAAATGTCTAGTGGATCTGACAGCTGTAACAGTACTGAAGTATGTACTGTATGTGTGTGTGTATAGGTAGCTGTACAATAGAGGCTCACGGGATGGGAATCTGCTGATGTTGTTGGACACACGGATAAGCATTCGGGCCCCCTTTAAATGATCTCCTCTTTTGACATGGATCTGAAAAATGTATGAAAACACAAACATCTAAAACGTTACAGAACAGTGAATATCTTACGAGTACAATTTACAGAATTCTCTTTCACCCCGTTACATGTTTGTTTATTCGGTTTTCTTCTTTAAATAAATATGAAATATAAATAGTAAACTGGGGCTGCAAAAAGTATTTGAACACTTTTGTTCACTTAAACCACATTTAAAATGAATGCTTAAAATATTAGATACAAACCATCAAATCTAGTGATGCACAACCAACAGGTATCAATAAAAAAAAAAATGTGTAAACCGGGAAGATATTTAAATGTTTCTGAAAGTCTCTTATGATCACCAAAGCTACAATTATTTGATAAAAATAAAGTAAAATCAGGGATATTGTAAAATATTACTACAATTTAAAATAACCGTTTTCTATTTTAATATATTTTTTAAAATAATTGATTCCTGTGATGGCAAAGCTGATTTTCAGCAAATACTCCATTACTTAAGTGTCACATGATCCTTCATAAATCATACTAGCATGCTGATTTGGTGCTCAAGTTTCTTATTATCTTTTTTACCTTCTATTCTATTCTATTTCTTCTATTTTCAACATTTCTTATTATTAGCAATATTGAAAATAGTTGTGCTGCTTAATATTTTTGTGGAAACCTTGATAATTTTTCAGGACTTTAATAACCAAAGCTTCAAAGAACACTTTTTTTGTGATAATGTAAAAATCTTTACCATCACTTTTAATCAATGTAATGCGGCTGCCTGCTGAATAAAAGTATGCATTTCTTAGTATGCATAAAAAAGGGACTTTTAATATGCCACTTGGATTGATATTTTACAATATAATGCAATAACATTCATTCATTTTGACTTTTTGGGCCCACTACATAAAATATTTTATCATAATAATAAATGTTGTGAAAACAGTTCATTTTATAATTTTTTTTTTTACTATTTTTCTACAAATAAGATATGCGAGAATGTTACAGTCCATAGAGCAGACATGTATTTGTGTAAATGTATTTCCCACCTTCACTAGTATGTAGCTGTGCAGGATCATCAGGTTTGTGGCCATCTCTGCTGGGATCTTAATGTGCTGTGTCTGAAGCTCAGCATACATGCTGAACAAAACATCATGGGCATTCCTGTAGTTTCCTACAACACATAACACACACACTTTAAGTGTGCTTTACAAAAAACACAGGCCGGGAATTCCCTAAGAATTTATTATCTTCTTATTCTCACACTCGGAGTCTGCATTGGTGCAACACGCTCCCAAAAATTTGCGCTTAACGCAGTAACAGTGAATGACTGTTTAGTAAAATCACTCCATAGACCTACACTACATGGATAACCAAAAAGCACTGAAACCAGACCTGCAGATTGCTCCTCTCTGGCGATAATAATAGCAGTTCTCGCTGCCTCTCTGTACTGTTTGAGAGCCATGTACAACCGGAACAGATATTTTGCATCCTAGGAAACATCAGAACCAACAAACATTATCTAGTCGATATACTTTTTCTGAGAACACACTTCTGATGCTAATGTACATACTAATAACATCAAATGAGGTAAACCATCCTATACAAATGATTTGCTTTGAATCAAACCATTTTCCAACAAAAACAGATCAAATAACTACAAAACAAAGACACACAGTTAGAATATGAAGTAATAAAGCAGAGGAACTTTACCGAAACACACTTTGACATTGCACAGACGCACACACATGCGCACACACACACAAACACACACACAAGTGCCTTCTGCTGGGTCACCACAAAGGGAAATATCAGCAGATGCAATGAGCTACTCACGGCAAGAGACTACACACATGCAGTGACACACAAGAGAGAGGAGATGGGTGAGAGATGATGAGTGTAAGGACAACAGGAACCAATCAGATAATGAGAGCAACAAAACATTTACAGTATATAAATGCAAATATCAATAGATGCTTGTTTTGAAAACAGGAACTTGAATGGTTAACGGCCCACATTTTCAAAAGAGTACACACATTTACAAAAGAAAAACCTGACAATAAATGATAAAGTAAAAGGTAATGTTAGAGCCGCCTGGAGCAACTAGATAATCCTCATGTTTCTAAGTTAATCAAATGTCATTGAAAGGGTCCTATCAAGTGAAAGTCCTGGAGCAAGGAGTGATGTCAACATTTACAAATAGTTCTGACTCCAAATTCAGATTGGATGTTGTGTTCAGCTATAGCAACAGAACTATATTACTATTTTGTGTGGTCTATACAAATGCGGCAAGTTGCTACACTTCCATTCAAAAACGGTAAGATATTTAAAATATCTATAAAAGTCTATTTAAAAGCTGCCATGGCTACATTTATTTGATTAAAACTACAGTAAAAACAGTATTAATTTGAAGTATTATTACATTTACCCCTGTGATACTGAATTTTCAGCAGCATTACGCCAGTCTTCAGTGTCACATGATTCTTAATGCTGATTTGCTGATCAAAAAAACTTTTTTTTTTTTTTTTTTGTGAAAACCGTTGTGCTGCTTAAAGGGATACTCCACCCCAAAATGCACATTTTGTCATTAATCAATCACTTACCCCCATGTCTTTCCAAACCCCTAAAAGCTTTGTTCGTCTTCGGAACAGAATTTAAGATATTTTGGATGAAAACCGGGAGGCTTGTGACTGTCCCATTGACTGCCAAGTAAATAACACTGTCAAGGTCCAGAAAAGTACGAAAGACATCGTCAGAATAGTCCATCTGCCATCAGTGGTTCAACCGTAACGTTATGAAGCGACGAGAATACTTCTTGTATGCGAAGAAAACAAAAAGAACGACTTTATTCAACAATTCGTGTCTCTCCGCATCACCCTGGCGCCATTTTGGAGAATATGTGCTGAACGCAAGCAGCGTACGCTATTCTGTGTCAGCCGCGACACAAGGATATATGTTTTCTACAGGTGTTAACGCTTTGATTTTAATGAAAACAGCGCATCCATGCTCTTCTGACACAGAAGAGCGTGGTGTCGATGGTTATTCTCCAAAATGCCGCTACGGTGATGACGAACGAAGCTTTTATGGGTTTGGAACAACATGGGGGGTAAGTGATTAATGACAATTTTCATTTTGGGGTGGAGTATCCCTTTAATATATATATATATATATTTTTTTTTTTTGTGAAACCATGATACATTTTTCCGTTTTCAAAGTTCAAAAGAACAGGATTTATTTGAAAATTAGACTTTTTTGTAACAATGTAGAAAACTTCACTCTCACTTTTGATCAATTTATTTCATCTTGCTAAACAAAATTATCTTTTTTTTTTATTCATTTTTTAATAAACTAAAATAAACTATATTTCTTGGAAGAATGTCTTATTCCAACTCAAGTTCCAATTAATGTATTAAACAAAATTCCAATTTAAATTTCATTTTTGATTTCATTCCAGATGATAGTCATTTTTCATTTACAACTCTATTAAGATCTGTGTCATGTTTTCAATACCTTTGGCATTCCGTCACTTTCCCCCATCAGATAATCAATAAGCTGATTGGTTAGAGCTTCATCCTTTGCTTCCCCTACCTGTTAAAAAAACAGAGACAAAATCATTAATACAGAAATGAATTATAATTATTTGTTAAGAATAATGGCTGCACTATAAATCTATAAAATGTTTGTATTACAAAAAAAAAAGACAAATAAAAAGCAAGTGAATTCAAGCATCAAGCAACACTGCAATGTGCAGTATGAAAGATTGATATCCGTTTATTTCTTGCCTTCAAAAACCATTATCTAGAGATGGGAATCAGATGGGATCTGGTGATACGACTGATCTCCGGGTAATACTATTCTTTTCTACATCTCATAAACTTGTTCAGAATTGTGGTCAATCTTCTAGTGAAACGTTTAGAGTGAATACTGACATATTTTGAGCAAAAACATCCCAATTCTTTGAAAGATCCCTTCCAATATTAACCAATACTGATTTTTACAAATATATCTCATTATTGTGCATCCCCCTTTTTGACAAATGATGTGAACTGTAGTGTAGTAAAGAGCGAATTAGTTCTTCCCCCAGCTGTACTCACTGTCTCAATGGCCATCTCTATAGCCAAACTGTCATCAGAGCTAGGACATTTCAAAAAGTGCTTCAGCGCCTGTGTGTGGACAGACAGACACAAATATATTAATAAGCATTTAATGACTGAGGTAATTAGCACAGTCAGTTGAGCAAAGAACCTCTTTGGAGATAATGAGCAAAGAGATAAGGGAAACCAAGTGTGATGAAAAGTGAGAGCTTGAAAGACAGAGGAAGTGCACTCAGGCATGGGAGTGAAAGATAAGAAAGAAAGCACACACAGTTCTCGTACCCTGCTGTACTGTCCACACTTCTGAAAGAACTTCCCAGCATGAAGATGATTCTTCTCCCCCTCAAAATACAGCGCTATGCTCTGATAGTCCTCTATTGTAGCCTCCGAACCTGGACACATGCACAGAACATGACAGAAAAGTAATCCAGAATATTTCTTAATAATATTATTAATAAAGTAGTCTCACAATTTGAAATATACCCATATCTTCACTTAATTGTGATATTGTGAAAACTACTATCATTTCCATCTTTAAAATTCTGAGTTTAATATTTTATCAGCACATATATGATGGGGACATGAAAATGTACTGCATTCACCGATGATGTCAGCGTAGATCTCCATCTGCCCGTGCTGCTGGGCGAGCTGAAAAGCTTCATCGCTGCAACGTGACAAAACCAGGAACTGGATCGCTGAGCCGTAATCACTCAAACGCAGGAAAAACCTGCGCAGTCACCGAACATTTATCACACTAACAGAACATCAAGACGAGCAAAGAACTTGAAATAAGGACAGGTGTTTAACCCTAACGATCTGGAAAATGCACGTTCACTGGTTGGGAATTCATTTTGTAAAAGAAGAGAAATGTTATCATTTAATTTCCTAGACACACAGGTCTTTTGGGTTTCTCTCTTTACTCACCTGGCCACCATTTTGGCTCCTTCGATGGACTGAGTTTCTCGTACGATGCGGACAGCCTCCTCAGGGCTGTTAAGATGCTCCAGTAGGATTCGAATGACGTTGTCCCAGTCTCGTGCGCTTTCATAGGCCATTGCTGCCTCTTTATATCTATACACATACACAAAATTTGGAAAGTGGCAATTCGAGGAATGCTGGACTAGGTGTTTCTTGAATGTGGTTTTACGATAATGTTCATAACACAAGGACACACGTTTTCCTGAATAAACACTGTAACTTTCAGAATTCAAGTATTCCTATACAGAGAGAAAAATACCATTTAAACTGAGCTGAAAACACATTCCATACTTCACAAGCCAGATTTTCATTCAATCAGGGAAAAAAAAATTTATATGCTGAAAATATTTTTTTCTTTTTGAAAAAATACGCAATGCTGTATCTCAATTAACACAGTACTACACAACAGTCAACAGCAAAAACAACTGTTTAATTCTAATGAGAGGGTGGAATTTTTTTTTAATTCGGAAATTGTGGATTTTTTTTTCTGCATTTTGGTGGAAAATCTTTAATAACAGTATATATATATATATATATATATATATATATATATATATATATATATATATATATATATATATATATATATATATATAAAATATAATTATATAATAACAGTAATGAGATTTATGATAATCACTGAGAATGGAAATGATTTAAGCAATTTCACAACAAAAAATAACAGGTTTCGTTATGCTTTTTTAATTGTGAATTTTTTTTCTGTATAATTTGTTAAATATATGATTTTTTTTAAATACTGTATTAGAGTACTGAGAATCACCTCTGACAATAATAATTATACATTTAATAAATAATTATATATAAATCATGTCATATATAAATAGATATATATATATATATATATATATATATATAAAATATAATATATGTTGTTGGAGTGTGTTTTCTTGGAGCGAATGTACTGCATTTGGTACATACTTGCCGTCCGCCTCCTTTGCCTTAGCGTACTGCAGGTGAATCTTTGGGGAAGTCACATGGGGCAAGAGCTCGCCCACCTTTGCCCTGAGGTAAGAGATCAACATTAGCTACAAATTAGCCACAAATCCCAGGTTTCCACAGCGCAACATTCAAATCTGTGATGTTTTGCTGTGAAGTTGCATTACCAGTTTTTGCAGCGTATGTAGACTGAGGCAGCTTTGTCATAGTACTGGCCTTTCTCATACAGCTGAGCCGCTTCTGAATATTGCTGCACACAAAAAGCATTCAGTCAACAACAAAAACAATCTGAATCACAGCATACTACTCTTTAACAGAGGCAAATAAGAGTGATTTGTATGTTAACGAACACACATACATAAACACAAACACACACACCTTCATGCTTTCCAGAATGGCTCCACAGTCTTTCTTCAGAGCTCTGCTGGGGTGTTTGATGGCCTGGTTGGCTCCTCTACGAATGTCACCCATACGAATAGACATACGAGCCACTCCTGCCAGACAGCTCTCATCATGATCCTGGAACTACAAACACACATATCAGGATCTCCTGCCAGCTATGGTCACTGAATGAGCAAACCTTCACCCTCTCTGCTCCTTTAGGGTGGAATGAGATGCCAACCTCCACCCATCACATCTTTCAAGAAGCAGCTGAATAAACCTGCCATTGTACACTACAAATACTGTTGGCTCTCAAGAGGAATTAGCTTTTGCTACTCTTTTGGAAGTAATGTAAAATGCAGGATCTATTGTCTATGCTCTATTCCATGAAAGAAAGATCTCTCTTCCGGAGATCATCATTTCACAAACATGCAGACACTCACCTTGTTGTTTCCTGTTGTGCCTTTCTCGTAGTGAGCCAGTGCATTTGTATAATCTCCACTAGAGGGCGACACAACAACATATGACATTACATCAACAGCAATAACAGACTTATTCTTTCAGACTCATCTAGCAGTACAGAAAACAAGTCCATGTTACAATCAGGTACAGGAACATGTGCATGACCATGTGATGTCTCCAAAACTTATGTAACTAACTAATGTAATGTAGCTGACTTACACAAATTCCAGCTGTATGGCATATTCTTTAGAAATAAATGGGATCTCATCAGGGTCCAGTCTTTTAGCCAGCTGTAACGCACTGTCCCAATGCTGCAGGTCCCTTCTCATCTACACACACAACAGCTCAACTGCTACAGTAATAAAAGTAACTTGGGAAGTATATACTAAGATGCACACATGTGAATTTTCATGCGTGTGTGCGCATGTCTATTTTACCTCCAAAGCTGCCATAGGATAAGAAGAAGTCAGATACAAGTCCTGGGCTCGGTTGTAGTCATTGCAGAACATGGCCAAATGACCAGCCAGCAAATTTTGATCTTCAATTCCCTACAGACACAGTTGAAGTAAAACACTTCATTGCATTAAACATTTTAAACTTCTCTAGTTCCCCAGACACAAAACTGCTCTGTTCCAAAACTTGATGCTTTGCTGCTTACTACCTAAATGAACCCTTTTCTCAGACTGATGTCATGTTTCCACAGTTATTGACATACACACTATATCACCTTGGCATTAATGTACAGCAAACTAGTTAATGCTGCCGTGTGAGCATTACTTTCTCCGTGAGAGATACATGCAATGCTTTGATTTTAGGGGGCAGATGCACAGCTTTTGGAACAGCTTTGAATCAGCAGTGCAAGTACTGTATGGTGCCTTATAGTCGCAATGCAACAGAAGTAGCGACAGATCTTTTCTTCCACACATATCCATTATCAGAAAATAATTCATTTGTTGTTGATAGGATAGTCGCAGATCTTAATGCAAGGTTGCAGTCGATTGTAAAAAGGGGCAGAGTTTATACTGACAAAATAACAGGAGAAGTCTGGAATACTTCACCAGGAGTCAGAGTCTGTCGTTTCATGACATTTTGATTAAAAATTACATTGTTTATTTATTTAATGAAACATATGCATGGATGAATTATTCACAATAAGATCAGTAACTAACATGCATTTAGAAAATCGGAATGGTGAATTTCCATTTTATGCCAACTTTAAAACGCTGTCTACTGAGGCACGAGCTAGTGACGTGTGGTCACACCTTGATGTCTTCTAGGGACATGACCATGCCGACGTTTCCCATCATGCGGTATACTCTGATGGCCAGTTCAACCTCCATGTGATGCAGACATGCCCTGCCCAGCTCACCCCACGCCTCGGTTCTGTTCAAAGCTTTACAGATATTCCACGCATCAGAAAACCTGCACACACAAACATACAGTAATGAATGTTGCTGAAGAAATCTGAAGTCAAATTAGATGCAATCACCAATACATTATGCATCCAACAACCATGCTTCCAGAAGCATTGAGGTTTGTATTATTTGGCTTGACTTAGTTAAGCCTGCAAAATAAACTAGCAAATCAAACTACTGTAGCATGAAAATACCTTTTGAGCATAATAGCCTGTTGCAGTAACGACTGGAGTTTGTCTTTACTGGTGTCACTGTGTGGGTTGT